AAATCCGAAACTAGTTTCGGATTAGAACCTTTCCGAAACTAGTTTCGGGTAGGTTTCGTTTCGAGTCCAACTCTAGTGTGGATGGACGTGAATTTTTTTGATGGATAATATAAATCGAATAATAGGTTGAATTAAAAGCGTAACTATTGACACATCTAAGATATAACATTGTATTACTTTACTAAACATTTGGTCTTCCCCTCAGGGATCCGGAGGATTACGATCAAAAAACTGGGAGGTCGCAAAAAGTTTCAGAATTGCATAAAAAATTTGAGAAGTGAAAAATTATTAAAGATCATAATAAGACATATTTTTATATTTTTTTAAAAAAAAAATCAAGTAATGTTGAAAATGTATGTTTGATATCCAAAATTTTATTCGTTGTTCAAAACAATTTTCCGGGATTCCACTTCCATGACGCTCGGACAATAATATTCCAAAATTTTACTTTTTAGTACATCCCTAATTAGGAAATAAACTGCATATAAAAGCGATTTCAGTTTAACCTTAATTCATTAACTCTACCACACCACAATGAGCGATCCATTGTTATGTTCTTTAGGTCCTTGCATTATTGACGACATAAAATTTTCAAGTAAATTATATAAATTATATATGTATTGATAATTAACTTTTTATTACATGAAATATATTTATCAGAACTTACGCTTTGTTTTATTATTTAACGTAGATGGAGAGATGCAAAGAGATATCCTAGGTGGTAGTGGCGTACACGCTATATATGGTATCAATTTTTAATCTGTTTTAATAGGTTCTCATTTAACATTAAAGTTTACTTGGATATTCGTTAAATTTTACGTAGAATACATTAAACGAATGACTAGGTCGGAACTCTAATTTAAAATGTTTCATTACTCTTGACATTAGGAATGAGATTATGGTTTTCATCTCGTGAATCTAAATGCATTGCATACACTTTCCACACTGGTTACGATTTTCCTATCAATCTTCAGCAACGTTTACTTGATCTAAATATCTCACTTACTCAAATACAGCATTCCGATTTACTCTCTATTCGTGGGTTAAATACATTCAAATCTATAAATAAACGAATGTTTGAATACCAGACACCTCTTATAGAAACAAAACCTGATGATATGCCAATTTCTTATTTAAATTCCAGGATTTTTCATATTATATGTTATCCAATTGAAGTTTCAAAGTATGTTACTGATATTTTAAGATTACGCGATAAGCAATTACCACTTCCTATTTTTATTTGGGAGCCTGTACCTGAATGTGCCTTAAAAGAGTACATGCAATCATGGATTGAAGCAATGAAAATGGTAGATATCATATCACCAAATCATGAGGAGGTCGCCGCGTTATTGGGTTTAATTACTGAAAATTATAAGGAGAATGAAAAACTCCCGACTAGTAAAATGTTAATATATATGGCAGATAAACTCTTAGAACATCAGATTAGTTCGAATGGGAATGGTTGTGTTATCATCAGAGCATCTCGTGAAGGATGTTTAGTAGCGACGAAAGAAAGAAAAGAAATTATACCCGCATACTGGGAACCACGTGTGATAATCTATCCATTATAGATGTAACTGGTGCTGGAAATGCATTTTGTGGTGGTTTTATGGCTGGTTTGCTTAAATCAAAATTTGATATATTTCAGGCTGCGCTTTATGGCACTATAAGCGCATCATTTACTATAGAGCAAATTGGTGTTCCTAGGCCTAAAATTAATGTGCAAGATATTGAAGCATGGAATTCGAGTGATAGTCCGCAATTAAGATTACACAATTTGAAATTAAGGATTAAGAAATCTTGATGATGAGTGAACCGGATTGAAAATAGAATAACACTAAGATGCTAATAGGGTAGAGAATATATCAAAAGATTTATTTTCATCTCGTTGTCATTTATTTCTAGTAAATGTTTACTTGTTTCTCGTGATTCCAATTTAAGAATCATAATAAGTTTTAAAGTCGATTAAGTATTTGAATATACATATCCACTGATTTGATTTTTAGAGGTCTTTTCCGGTGGTGCGCATTTCGCCAACAATCACTTCACAGCCGATAATTTATTTACAGAAAAGATTATTTTATTGACAATTAATTCACTGACAAGTTCATTTCATCGACGGTTCATTTCACAGACGAAGTAATTCTGGCCATTGTCATTACAGCTGTTTTGGGACACCTAAAAAAATTTGCCGATGATAATTTCGGCCGAATTCGATAAGTTATTGATTTCGGGAATAATAAGATTACTAATATATATTACAATGCAGCGACATGCATACTTGTCGACTTATTCATTTCATTTTTAAAAAATTGTGTAAAATTTCTTTGGCAAAATCCATTTTCGCTCAAACGAAACCTTTGTTCATTTTTAATTATTTTTCGACGAAAATTTGGTTTAAAAAATTGCGTAAAATTTCAATTCCTATTCTAATTAATTTTCGACGAAATTTTGTTTTTAAAAAATTATGTAAAATTTCAACTTCCAAGACAATTTTCCCAATATGTATTCGTTATCCGGCAAACTCATATGATCATAAAAAAATTTCTATTTGTTATTTTTTTCATGTGTTATGATGTAATTATGTTTATTCCAGTATTCAAAAAAAAAAAACTCAGCGAGCCACTTCCTACCAATCATGATCATAAATTGCCGGATTAAGCCAATATTGGGCAAATTGTCAAATACGGTAATTTGACAAATGATTGGCTACACATGCTGCTTTGTGGCATGTGCTCATTTGCCAAGTTACCATTACTCGACAATTTTTGCCCAATATTGTCTTACCAATACATATCGGGAAACTTTTCTCCTGGTATACACCTGATATTCATTGATGCAACCTGTAAACATCAGGTGAGTATGTATAATTGCCGTGAGAATAAAGAAAATTCATAAGAAGTGCCAAGCAAACTTTGTTGCAATTTATGATCCAAGCCCTCATAATATAAACGGTTATTTCTATACTGATGGTCAGCCTATATAATGCAAACAACTGCTTATAGTAAGCCCCAACACTAGATTATCCCATATTAGTTTAAAGTTTAACTCAGTATATGTATCAGTTCGTCAAAGAAAAACCTGTCATCAGGATTTCAATTATATAGCTGTTTATGGAAACTCTATAGTGATAATAGATTTTCTATAAACAGCTAACTGTATACAAAATATGTATAATTAAAAGCCCAATGAAAGGCTTTTTTTCGACAACACATATTAAACAAAATTTTTAATATAAAAAGCAGAAAAATTTGGTTTTTTCGTTTCATAAAGCTCATTCATGTATAAGAAAACAAATTTTGTAAAAATTACTAATTACTAATTATTTATTAAAAATTTTTTATCTATGTATATATTAAATAGGTAATTACGGCATTTCTCTATTATTATTTTTTACCAATTATCAGTAGCGTACCAGGTGGGTTCTGGTATGCTGGGTGGGTGGTGGGCCGTTGCAGGTAAATTAAAATAAACTATTATAATTATAGTATTTAACTATTTATTAACTATTTATTAATTATTTAATTTTTTTTATATATAAATATAAAAACATATATTTTGAATTAATTGGATATTTTGTGGATTTTCATGGAAACTGAACGGTAAGAAATTTTAAATTCAACATTCAAAAAAAATTATACATGAATGAGCTTTTCAAACCAAAATCGTAAATTACATATATAAATATAAACAAATACAAATAAATAAATAAATAAATATAAATATAAATCCATAAATAAATACGTAGTGTTTGGCAAAATTTAATTCAAATAAAAGTTTAATTTTGTCAAACACTAAATACATATTTCAAATTTGAATTGTATAATTGGATTGATTGATCAATTGCTTGCTTATATTAATATACTATATTATAAAATAATACCAATATGGCAGTGTTGTCACTCAGGACAACTAAATTTGTCTGTCGAACAAATTCATCAACTTATCATTATGTTGAAGCTAACCCAATATCAAATAAAATATTGCCAAAAAAAACCAATATGCTTCTACTAAATAACCTGAAAATCTAGTTCTGATCAACTTTCAGACAAAAGCTTATTTTACAGATGATTAGTTTACAGAATAGTTCGTTTCACTGACAGTATATTTTACCAACAGCTCATTTCACAGACAAAGTAATTTGAGTCATTGTCGTTATGGTTAGGTTTGGAATTAATGATTAGCGTGATTTATAAAAAAATTTGTCTGTGAAATGAGCTGTTGATAAAACATACTGTCTACAAAATGATTTTTTTTTATGTGAAATTTAATTATTTGTAAGATAGGCTTGTCAATGAGTGATTGTTGGTGAAATAATATGGACCTCTGAAAATCCAATTGGTAACATATAGCCTTTTAATTTATTACTTTTATTGTGAACTATCATTAATGTATGCTGGGAATTTTATTATTTATTGTTGTTTACCAGATTTGAACCAGATAGTAATACATTTCTCATGAGCTTAATATGATGAATAATGAATGATAAATTTCCAAAGTCTTACTTTCTC